CCATTGCCCCCTTGATCAACATACCAAACGTATGACTAATGTCTGACGCCATGCCAACAACGCACGAAATCGTTTTGAAGATATCCCCAATGAACGGAAGCCCACTGCTAGACCGTACGCATGAGCCATCTTTCTTGTCATGATGGTCGTGGTCATCCTCCTCGTCTGGGGATGTTCGACCCATGAGAGAGCCCATCTCTTCTATGAACATGCTAACACCCTCTGCAACCACGGTTTGCTTTGCTGAATCTGTACTACTCTGGCTCCAGTCTTGCACAGCTAGCGCCACACCCATCCATCGCAGTGACGCTATCGTCAATGCAGAAGATATCTCGAAACCAGTGGGGTTCAATGTCGGCATAGTAGGTGCATTTGAAATACGTATCGGCATAGGTATGACTATTGCGCCCCCGGAGAGAAACTGCAGAACTGCAGTCTGCCCCAGGGTTACAGTCGTAATAATCACTAGCGTTGGTGCTGCGAATGGAGCTGTAATGATCGTAGAGAAGACCTGACCACCGATAGTGTATGAGACGATAGGTGCGATTGGGGTTTGCATCGATGTCATGGTAGTTCGGGGCGTGGCGGACGTCGTGGGTATTGTGGACTCGCCAGCATGCGACGTCCACGAAGCCGAAGAGGAGTGCTCATTAAGTGTAGTAGAGTTCACACTTCCTGAGAGCACCAGTGATTCGGTAGACGATGAACCTGATGTTTCTTGCTGTGTGGTTCTAGTCGTCAAGAGCGTTTCCAAGCTAGGCGTGTTGGACAGATCGGAATTCAACCTGCTGGTATCTGTAACAGCTGGTGGCGAAGATACGAGGCTTAGTGTTTCATTCCTGGAATATACTGACGAGATAGAGCTCCTGCTTGCATGTCCAATGATAGTGCTAGTGTTGACATAGCCAGATACAGTAGCATTTGTCCATTGTGGCGACCCTGATAGAGTAGTCGAGTCAGCCTGTTCCAAGGGAAACGTCTCGGTGATTGCTTTCTGGCTCTTTATTGAAGTCAGGGTTGTGTTAGCGATGGAGTGATTCTCCGTCGCGTGTGTAGGGTCCGTGAACGAGCTCGCGGTAGAGGCATTTGACCAGGATATAGAGTTAGACACTGTAGTGGTCTCGGGAAGAGTAGACGTGACAGCAATTGGAGATACGAAGACCGAAATGGCGGAGGGCGACATCGCCAAGATCAGCAATCCTGCTATGATCTTTGAAGAAGACATTATCAGTACTGTCGCAAAGTGCTCGAAGAGGTGAGAAGCCTGGATAACGCGTCTTTATCCTGTGCAGTCAAAGGTTCTTACCGCACTACCATGAAGCTTTTATAGCTCGAGCAGGTCCCTATTGATGCTCACCGGAACAGTTGACGAAGATGGTAAAATTGACCAGGCCCGCCACGTAGTTACACTGCTGCTCTCCAACAAGGGCCGTGCCTGACAAAAAAGTGACAGTGATACCTTTTCTTGGCGATCGCAAGTCCCCCCGAGTGCGATGTTCCCATTGCTGATAATTGTCAACCTGGCGATGTTACTACGCATGCATTGACCTCTTCTTCCTGTGACAGATTTGCGTTCATTTGTTGACTATTCGGTCTTCCTTGCGACGATACGATGGTGTCTGGAAACATCTGTGATATCAGCCAAGAAGGTTGAGATGGTATTACAACGACTGTGACCCGATGTAGTCACCCGTACGTGTACTCGGAGTTGCCGGCCACTCCATCCCCCTTCGTAAGAGGAAAAGTTGAGCCGAATCGAACGGCCTTAATGAGCCGTTGCGCAAGGTATGTGCTAAGTCCGTAAGTTTCCCATTTTGTCGCGAGAATGTGCTACGGATGATGGTCTCCACTGATCTGAGGACAGCTTCCGTGGCACGAGACGCGGGATCGAAAGCCTTGGCTCTGGATAGCTCCTCGCATGGTTCACTCAGCTGTTGGAGTGGTCGCGTGGATGTATCACTCATGCATGTTAGATATAAGCATGCCTCGTAAAGGAAGGAAGTTGACTTGTCGCGACGCGTGCCAACGTCGAAGTTGGCGTGTTGTTGGGGAAGCAGCGCGTCGGCGTCAGCGCTACCTAATTTGAGCGGCCCTTGCCTGCTTTAGCGTGCCAAGAGAGCCTTCCGGGATGTCTCAACTGCTGCCAAAGTACGCCTTAAAACCATTGCTACCGGATTATTACGAGACGAGTTCGAATAGACCAGCGCTACAACTCAAACGCGCAGACCTTGGAGAAACAGGGAAAGTGATGACGCTGGCGGTCACCACCGGCAATTCGGTGCGTGATTGGATGGACCCGCCGGGTTCCTGCAGCAGTCCCCGCCGGCTTCGGGCTGGCCCACCTTGCTCTTTATGCTCTCCTGCTTGCATCAACACCAACGTGTTATCACCACGGCCCTCAATCCCACTGGAAATACATCATCCTAGTATCGTTTGCACCGAACTCGTGCACATCGTCGTTCAACCCTCCCTGCCTGCCAACGCGAATCACATGCGAGATGGTCAGCCCCCGGAATCGCCGGATTGTTCGTGAGGAGTCCGAGAGCGAGAAGGAGAGTGTTGGAGCTCCTCAAATATCTCCTCGCAAACGACCGTTAGTTGTGGACGACTCCGATTCGGGATCTGACGATGTTTCACCCACAACAACACACAAAAGAGTGCGTCGTGTGGTCCTGGATGACGATGACGACGAAGAAGACAACGAGAGCGACCCGTCCAATCACCCAGCTACATCTCAGCCACCAGAGAAGGGCAGAGACCACGAGTTACTTTTGAGCAGCCTCGCAGCAAGCCAGAGAGCATCCCCATCTCAGCTACCGACTCTGCCTGCCGAAGTCCTTTTGACCGTCCTTGACAACGCCGACCCAGCGGACATCTTGGATCACCGGCTTGTATGCAAAGCCTTCAAAGAAGTGATTGACACGTCTGTGCTTTATTATCACATCCAACGTGTGGAGTTGATCGGCTATCTCGGACCGAAAGAACGTCAACTCATGGAGCAACTAAATGCGCAAGATTATTGGGACTTGGCATTTGTCAACGCGACTTTCGAACGTCTAGACGAGCGCGTGGGCAACCAAGCCGTATGGGATCGACAAAATGCGTACTTTCGCATCAACGAGTCCTGGTACGACACGTTTGTCCGCAGTGTCGGAGAGATTGAACCTGACAATCCGTGGTGGCACCATACCGTACAATGTCTTGATTTACGAAAGCCACCTTCGGTGTACGGGCAGCTACGCTGGTGTGTCAAAGTAGGCCCAACGGTCGTCGATTTTGGCATGACAGACGATGAAGAAGTGAATATTGAACTGGTGGAGCGCGAGGACGAAGACACTATCACTGTCCGGGTTACGAATTGGAAGCGTATGCTGACGAATGTCTTTCGAGAAGAGCGGGCTCTGAACCTGTTGCTTAAAGACACCGAAGAAGATGAATTCACATACAGCCATCTAGAGGACAGTCTTCGAGACATGCGACGCAAGCGCTATCGCTCGAAACTGGATCCACGTAACAACAAGCACGGTAGAGACATTTGGAAGATGGACAACATGACCCCATTATGGGGCAAATACTCTTCTATGACCGTTATCCGGGACTACGAAGATGTAGAACTTGCCGAGCGCAATGCCGTTCAAGCCCTCATGCTCTTGCGAAGAGAAGCTTCAATGTCATCTCGCGAACGAGATGCATTGTATACAATGAAAGAGGAAAGAGCTATAATGCACCGGGAAGTGGCGGAGGTCGACGAGCAGTTCAAGAAATGGCAGGAGAGCTTGCTCGGGTTACCAAATCTAAGCCTCGGTCGTATCGAAATCGATCATGACGTTGATCCCAACCCGATGACTTGGTCCAAGGAAGTCGTGGATCGCGAGAGCCAGAACCTCATAAGGTGGAAGGCTCAGAAGCAAACCATCGCGCATATCAAAGCCTACCTGGATGCTACGAACGCCGCAGCCACCTTAGCCGAGGACAGCTTCGATGACGAAGACGAAGACTTTTGAGCTTCGCCGTGCTGTGACAATGCAATCATACCTAGGTACCTCTGTCCACGGCCATGCCGCCCTATCGCTCTGCGTCCACACCTCATACTGGAACCCGTGTAGCTTAACCTACTCTGTATAGTCGCATACATCGACAAAAGTGCAGAATGGGTTGTCTGCTGGTGCTGATCGTATATCTGCGCCAAGCCGGCTCAAGTGTCCAGGTGGTGTTCGGCCCCACCTCTCGAAAGCCACCAGGGAGGCCCTTTCCACCACGATATGCGCTGCAATCCTTCCTAGACATTGCGCGAGCCCCGCGCGATAAGACCTGTTCGCATACCATGTATCATCAATTAGTGCTCTAGCGCATTTCTGCCGGCATATCTTGCCAAGATCGCAAACGCCGGATGAAGCTATGTTGACCGAGGATGGGGCGGAAAGTGCGGGCGTCGCAGTAGCTTCTCTATATATAGCGAGAATGATTGCTAACGATGCGGATCAGGCTCGGAGTATGGATACCGAGAGGTGAATGTAATCTAGAGCTTCTGCATGGTCTTGCCGATCATATACTACGCTTGCTCCACGAGGTACTCTTGGCCGATCTACCATGAACACACTGCGCCGCCACCTTGCTTATCGCCAACATCCTCCATTGTTTCCAAGACAATCAGTGCCTAATACAAGGGCCTCGCATGTGGCAGGTAATCTTTGCAGCGTGACTAGCGAATGAGAACCAGTACGCCTGCACCACGAAGCTGCATCGATGTGGCACTGTATGAGCTGAGCCCCAAACGTGGGCATGGCGGCATAAGCTTACCAGTTCTTGAGAGCGGGTTGTCTGTGCTTATCACGCTTGGAAGGAGCGGCACTATACAGCGGCTGACCAAAGCGGGAATCCCTTATATATTCGTAGATATCTAGGTTACTCAGACCTGAGCATTTCGCCGCATTGTGAAACACTGCAATTAGGGCTCATCTTCGGGTACTACCTGCTCCAGCCTCAGCCTCAGCCTCGCGATGGCGTACCAGCAACTACCCAAATTACAGCACAACGTGGAAGTGACGCCGGTCAACGAGGACTACACTCCGCCTTCGTCCACCCTGCAAAACTATGATGAGATACGAGACTTCGATTTCAGCCCCACGAGTCCACGTTCGACTGTTAAATCACCTTCTATCAAGAAGCATGTAACGCATTGGAGTTCGTCTACCAACAGCACGGCCGTGACTTCTTCGGAGGTATGTAGCACAAAGTCTGACAGCAAGGCTGGCGCGTCCCGTGCGCGGTCTTGGGCTTTCGAGATCATGGCTGTCGCAATCGGGCTGGGTGCTGTCGCCGCAATTGTCGGCGTGGTAGCCAAATACAATGGACACGCATTGCCAGACTGGCCTTACAGCATAACTCTGAACGCTCTCATTGCCCTGTTGGCTACTTTTGCAAACGCTGCAATGTCGGTTTGCCTGTCGAGTGGATTATCACAGGCGAAATGGATCCGTTTCAAGCAGACATCGGCTCCATTATCTGACATGGAGGCCTTCGATGACGCTAGTCGTGGTTCGTGGGGCTCTATCAAACTGCTGGCGACTGCTAGAGGAGGGTACGTTTCTCAGCTCAGGACATGGTTGACATATGACTAACGAATGCTTTATCAGATTTCTCGGGTCCTTCGGCGCTATCGTCGCTGTTATAGGTCTCGCCCTTGGACCTTTCGCGCAGCAGATCGCAACCTACAAAATCCGTAACGTGGAAAGTGACTTTGGCGCCATCATGCCTAGAGCCCTCAACTTCACCCCTGCGCTACCGGGTAACACCAGCACGAGTAAGTAGCATCAAGCGCATTTCGATGTCATCCGTTGACGTAGGTTTCTAGCGGGTTTCGTGCCAATTCTCCCACTTAAAGCCGCAGTCTACAACGGCTTGTTCGCGGAGAACAATAGACCTGCTGCGTCACTACCATTCAAGTGCCAGAGTGGTACTTGCACCTGGGAACCCTTCGAGACGCTGGCTGTTTGCCATGAGTGCACAGACATCACTCCACTCATGACGCGCTACTGTCCACCTGAATTGGGTGCATCGCCAAACATGTCCTCATGCGGATGGCAAGTACCACAAGGAGCTCATCGTAAGTTTCGCATGTGCAAATTGTAAATTGGCGGGTACTTATTGCTTACACTGTTCTTTTAGTCAACACGAGCTCCGATGTATTCAGTATGACATCCTTCATCCCGTCGGCGTATGGCGACATGCCCCACTCCACGATAATCCGACTCATCTTCATGGGTACAGAGCTTCAAGATACACCCAACGCTCTGAACCCTTGGGCATCACAATGCAGCCTGCAAGCATGTGCAAATACGCTGTCCGCATCGGTCACAAACGGTACGCACCAAGAGAATGTCACGCACTCTGTTCTCAACCACACTGTCATCGACATGAGCTCCCCCGATCCTGCCGCCGACTATGGTGTTTATATCACTGGCAAGTCCGATGACACTGCGTACTTGCTTGGCATGGAAGCGCTTTTGAGCATACGCGGATGGTTTAGTGCAATCTTTACCAACGGCTCCGCCACCCGTACGACTAGCGATTTCACCCGAAGCGTCACAGACCCAGACCGTGCTGTAGTTGTCAATCTCACAGTCGGTATCTCATCAGGCGAGACTTTCTTCGACACGGATATTGTCACCGCGTTCTACTGGAACTACTACGAGTACGCTGATGGACTCAATATGCTAATGAGCGACTTGGCCGTATCGATGACAACCGCTTTTCGCGGCTTCAACGGCGCTGTGGATACGAACGGCAAGTCGATAACGGTAGAGTCCTATGTCCACATCCGATGGGGTTTTGCTGTCTTACCGATCGCGGCTGTCGTGGCCACTCTGATCTTCTTGCTCGCGACGATGACGATGACGCATACGTCTGGTACGCAAGTGTGGAAAAGCAGTGCGCTTGTGCCGTTGTTACACGGCTTGGATCATCACACTAAGGAGAGGTTCGGTACTAAAGACACTTTGCCGGCTCAGAAGAGACAGGCAAGAGCGGTAAAGGTCAAATTGTTTACTGATGATCGGAGTAGCACAATGCTTGGAGCAGAGAAGGCTGCATGCTAGTTTAAGAGGCGGTGGTGGTCATGCTTCGATAGGCAAAACAACACCTCACTCAATACAATCTTTGGGTTATACCCTACTTTCGCGATCCATATCCTTGCTCTTTCCTCCCTCGCTACTGATATCACTTTCCGTGTCGCTGAGCAATCCATTCCAAGCATCATCATCGACGCTATCCCTATCGTCTTCTCTTCCAACGTCCTTGTCTACCTTGACGTTTACGAACAACATCCACAGTCCAATGTCGTAGGTGATCCTACAAATACTCGTAGCCACGAAGGCCACCCAGAAGTTATCGCTACCGGAGAGGAAGCCTGTGATTGATGGCCCAACGCTCATGGCTAATGTGCGCAGCATACTAGTGATGCCCATGACACCTGTACGCTCTTCAGGCTTCACGACTGCTGCAATGAAAGCTGTACGCGGTGCTTGATCCATGCTATTGAGAGAAGCTCGGAATAGCAGTAGGCCCACTGTCCAACCGACCTTTGAAGGTAATGGGATGAAGCCGCTGGCGATCGATGATGGGAGATGAGTGAAGACCATGGTGTTGATGAGACCTATGCGTTTGGCCAATGGTCCAGCGAAGATAGCCCCAACTGCGCAGAGAAACTGCGAAGCCGAGGTAATATCCCCAAGCGTGGATTTTGAGACGTGGAACTTTTGGTCGACGTAGTAGTTCATCAGGGAGTAAGGCGTCATGCCGTCTGCTAGACTGTCAACGGCTAAGAGAATCCAGAGTTTGTACATGACGGATCGTGTACTCTGCGAGATTTGACTGAAGTAGCTTGCTTTCTTTTGGGATGGCGGGTTCCTGATGCCCGCTGGTCTTCCTACGTGCTCGCGCTCTTGGTCGAAGCCGTCCGTGGTGCTGGGTGTCATCGCCTCCAGTAGCACTTCTTCCTCCTCGCCATGGCCCCCACCACGTCCTCGCTCTTGCATCTCTGCCCGCTTCTCACCTGCAGCCTCGCATCTGCTACTCAAACCCAGACAAAGGATGCTCCCAAGCACTCCGAAGGCTGCATAGCCCCAGAACAGGGCATGATATGCCTTGGTCACATTACCGCTGCTCTTCTCGAGAGCATGTACCGTTCTCCCTGCGACTTCTGCGCCAATGGCCCCTGCCAATGTTGTCGCTGTGACATACCACGAGAGTACATCGCTTCTTGTTGTCTCGTCTGTTAGGCCACTCAACATGCTCTCCTCGACAGCTCTAAAAGGACCACAATCAGCACCGGTGACAGAAATGATGCCGAACACCGCCGCAACTAAAAGAATGAAGAAGTTTTCCGACAGCGCAAATGCGACACCTGAACAAGCCATCATCACACTGCCCATGAACAAAATCCTTCTCCTGCCTAGTTTGTCCGCCACAAGAGTAAGCAACAATGACAGTAGGACATCTCCGAGCAATGTCAATGTCATGAAGACCCCAATCCTCGAATCCGGAAATTTGAGCGAGGAGAAGAAGAGGGCGAGAATTAGCGATGGAATGCCAGCCGTGAACATCCTCAGCGATCGCAGTGTGATGATGATGTATGCATCGCGTCCAGTCGCGTTGAGTGATGTGATTCCGAGAAACCCAGCGATCCGCGATATCGCTGTGGAAGCCATGGTGGCAATGTTGGACTGTGCCGAGTGCTGGATCAGACAACGCGAATTGACCTTTCGTAAGAGTGCAAACTCAACGTCAACTGCTTTTAGATGTCGAGAAGAAAAGATGAAGAGAAACGGAAAAGCACGGAAAAGATCTCATCCTACAAAAGACTGGTGACCACCCGCGTTGCTAGTGTGGGCGTTAAACCCGAGACGGGTTTAAGCTGGGAGGTTGCATCTTGCCTGACTCACCTGTGGCGCTGCCTGCATACGCGCGACTCCATCAAGGCGCGTTCTAGATCATGTTTGAACGACCTTCACGGCGTTACTACCGACATTTGCTGTGCTGGTTTGGAGATGCTGCGCGGCCGAGTCTGCCCCGCGGTAAAAGTGGGGCCAGGTTTCGTCATCGCCAGGCTCCTGCGCTTTCGAGAGCGCGTCGCGTGCCTTCAACAGTTCATTACCCCCGCGATACGTTAGGTGAATGAGCCTCGAACAGAAAGTATATCACGAACGAGACATCTTATATGTCTTCGCAGGCTTTCAAGGTGTGTTCAAGTACACGTTATTAATGGAGTTGCTCTATTGTACTGTCACGTTCCCTTATCGTCGCCGTGAGCAGTTGCTGCTTACCCGATTAGATGCTCACCTACGTCAAGTGAGTAGTCGCGGTGAAGGTGAAAAGTGAAGGTGAGAATGCGTGGTGACTGCCGAAAGTGAGAGTACAGGTAGATACAACAATACCTAGGTAGGAAACCTGCTAGTAAAACGAAGCTTTGCAATTCAACTACTCGAGGCACACCCAGACCCTCCAGGGCTCTTATTCTTTCTCCCAACCTATCGAGGCCATCACTATTGCGAGATCAGAAAACTTTTCGACTGGAATTCCGCTATTCGACAACAGTACGCGCAGTCGGCTCATTGCAAGCACAACCAATCACCAGCATGTCTCCCAAGGATATGTCATTCGCAAAGGCATTTGACGAGCTCTTACCACTCGAGATCAAGCAGATGATCTTCAAATGGGCAGCGAGCGACAACAGCAGCGAGATCCAGATCAGGCTCTTGCACGATAACGAAGACCGGCTTCATGCACCAACTGTCGATCTCCTCGCGAAGTTGAAGGATCAGTACTCAGCCAAGGCGTACTGTCAGGCCGTGGAGTATCTTACAGGATCAATGTTTCGTTGGACCTTCAGCAGCGACACTCAGCCACATCGATACCTTCTCCGTGTTTTCCGAAATTCGGTCCCCATGGAAGTTCGACAGCGAATCCAGCATGCCTACCTGCCTCGGGTCACTGTTAGAGGTCTTGTCAATCCGGACACCCTGTCTACAAGCCTCGAAGATCTCGAAATGATGGAAATGGGCTTACTGTTGGACTGTTCTGATTACCTCACACGACTGAGTGCGAAAGCAACCTCTGATTCAACTTCGATCGTCATGAAGATCAACCGGGACATCGCAGGAGGAATATCATTGCTACCCCACATACTACCTTCGCTCAAAAAGCTGGATCTGGGTCTCGATGTCATCGACTGCTGCCTAGCTAATCCAGACGATCTCCGGTTATGTCGTCAGGGTAGAATCAAGGGCTTGCTTCGCTATGGACCACTTACAGGTGGATTGGGAGCACTTGCCAATCTCAAAGATGTTACCAGCCTTGATGTCCGCGTTTACTGGAACGACTTCCTGCACGACGAACAATTAAATGGAAGCGACTTCATTACGGCCAATGGAAAGCAATGGCGCGACCATATCATCAAGGCGTTGTGCCTAAGTCTTCCTGCTGCGAAGAGCATCGTCGGTCACCCGGAGGATCCGCCCGTCTGATTGGTAGCCTTGTCTTTACCCGCGCCATTCATTGGCATGATGGAATGCTGCAAAGATCGATGATGCGCTTGACGGCATTGAAGGGCTTTCTTCTTTCACACGTCACATGAAAACATGCGGAATGGGTCACTTGGATGGCTGTCTCAACTTCAGACTGCAGGGCGAGATGCGAATGCTTTACTAGCTTGACGGCCGAGCGGGGCGATATGTGCTCCAAATTTTAGGCCAGCATCCACTGCCATCTAGAGCACAGTGGCTACATCCCCGATGGCTTGCAGTTTCGTCTCACGTTCTACTCACCGGGGGTTCGAGCTGTTCGAACTTGCGCCAGCAACGAGGATGGAACGGTCTGGTCCATGTTCATGTGCAGAGAAGAACGGAAGAGCGGGTATATAGTTGAATTTCGAACATTTGTACTTGTTGACTCGTGACACGATCCGTGATGTACTAAATCGTCCCAACACATGCAAGACAACGTCCGCCCCATGGCTTCCTTTCGAGATCAGCCACCATATCTAGTATCCGTACAAGTTGACACGCTCATTCGTCGACGCCTTGAGCCTCTGGTTCTCCTTGATGAGCATCACGCGAATCGCCCAGGCACAAGCGATCGACAGCAGCGCGAATCCAGCAGATGCACCGAATCCAATCCCGTATCGAGGCTTGTCGGTGTCTGGCCAGAGGTAAGCGCCGTAGATGTATCCGATCTGGCCTCCGACGTTCGTCATAGCCAACACGACAGCTTTCTTCTCTTTCGTCTGACTGAGGGTCGAAGATGCCCAACCGATGATGACGGAGTTGACGGAATAGGCGCCAATGGGGAAAATGAAGCAGGCAACGTATCGACCCGCTGTGTTTATCGTACTAGCAGCGATGACGAATCCGACAATGGCGACTAGCAGTCCACCAGTGATATGCCAAGTGCGCTCATGCATACGCCCTGAACTCCAGCCTGTAGCGATACCTGCCGCGCCGGCAAGCAGGAAGGGAGGGCATGTCAGCAGGAGAGTAATCGTTGTGTTGAAGCCGAGGGTCTTGATGACACTACCAGCATTGTCAGCGAACTTTCGCGTGAGTATTCGAATGTACTTACGTTGGGAAGAAAGAGTTGAACGAGCAAGCACTGAGATGGAAGTTCTGCATAAGACAGAACAACCACGTCCTTTTGTCGCGGCACGCCTGCCTCAGTCCCTCCATCATGCTGACAGGCTCGGTGGAATCGCCGACTCGGTCACGCTCCATACGTGCATGAGCAAGTTCGCGCTCCCGTGGGTTAAGCCAGCTCGTAGTGAGTGGGGTGTTGGGAAGCATGAAGAAACCCCAGATGGCGACCAATGCGGTCACGGCTCCTTCGCTGTCGACCGGTTAGTGCGAAGTATGACCAAGCAGAAGGAATTGGGTACATGATGAACAACCAACGCCACCCAGCGATGCCTCTGGCGCCATCCAGCTGGAACACGCCGGCCGCGATCAATCCACTGAAGCCTGTAGCCAGAATCTGCGCACAGTATAGCAACGCGATACGTGTCGCCACTTCCTTCCTGGTGTAGAATATCGAGAGCATGTATGTAGCT